AAACAACGACTAATAACTTTTTCCTTATAATGTTCCATCTTTTGAGAAAATAAAAAATGACGAATTCTTACTACGTTCTTATTCTCAAAGAAGAAATGAAAAATTTTATAAGATTGAATAAAAAAAATTAATTAATCATTTTATAATGAAGGAGTTGCTATGCTTAGTGTGTGACTCGTTGGTTTTTTTAGAGTGGTTAATTTTCTATAAAAATTCATAGAATTAATTACTAAAGAATAAATAACCTACTCATCGCTTCCTATTATCTAGATATAAAGAACCGTCGAAAATCTAAAATCAAAATAAGGATCCATGTGGTGATATAGTTATAGCAACTAAAATTTTAAAAAAAAAATTATTAGTTGTAAAACAATAAGAATATACAAATAAATTAAGGGGTGAAAGAAAAATAGAAAAAGGATATCAATGATATAAAATTCTACTATGTAAAGGTATATGAGTCATCTCATAAAAAGTAATGTAATAAAGCATCAACCTTCAAAATTCATCCATATATGGATGAATATATTCCTAGAATAAACGAATCAAGAGTCACGAATCAAGAAAACTGAAAAGGTTGATTCAACAAAAAAGAATAAAATAAGAAAATAAAAAAAAAATTAATCTTATTAAAGAGGCTCTATGGTAGAATTTAGACCTAATCATAAATTGAAAAGCGAAGGGAACGACGGAACTTGTGAATACAAAAGATTATATTAAAATTTCAAATCTTACTGATTCATTAGATGAGATGGCGGAAGGAATTAAGAATTCATTCTTTTTTGAAGAGTTGTGAACTAACCCTACATTACATCTTCAATTTATAATGAGAGAGTAAATATTCGTCCGCGAAAATGTGGATTTTTTTGGAATTGATAAATTTTTGCCAATCCAATATGATAATAATAAAAAAAGAAAAATATTGATTCGTTAGAACCATATATCCAAAAATATTAGCTAGTTAGATACGAATAGCAAAAATGGCCTATAAGAATACATATTTCGTTATATATCAAAGCAAGATTAAAAAATTTCTAATAGATCAATAGATTCTTTTAAATGTAAAAAAATTCTGCCATTATATTCTATTTAATTTTATTAAACATATGTATCTTATTGTATTAAATATTATTATTTTCTCGATTCAATATTTTTCAATCGATTTATTCACGAGGAGTCGTATGAGGTGAAAATTTCATGTACGGTTCTGTAATAGATGGAATTGAGAAATTACCATCAACTATAACCCAAAAAGAACGAGATTCCGCAAATATCATAGAAGAAGAATGAAAGGAAAAGCCTCCTATGGTAGTAAAATTTGCTTTGAAAATATGCTCTTCAGGCACTTGAGCCCGCTTGGATCACATCTAGACAACTAGAGGCGGGTCGGCGGGCAATATCACGAAATGTTCGTCGGGGTGGAGAAATATGGATACGCATATTTCCAAACAAACATGTTACAGTAAGACCTACTGAAACGCGTATGGATTCGGGAAAAGGATCGCCCGAATTTTGGGTAGCTGTTGTTAAACCCGACAAAATAATTTATGAAATGGGAGGTGTTCCAGAAAATCTCACTAGAAAGGCGATTTCAATAGCGGCATCCAAAATGTCTTTACGAACTCAATTTATTCTTTCCAAATAATCATTAGAACGAAAGAGGTCTTTAGTATGAAAAAAAGGCAATTCTCCATTTTTTTTAACACTATTTTTTTTACTTCACTTTTTGACTGAAACTGAAAGATAAGAAAAAAAAGGATATGATTCAACCTCAAACCTATTTAAATGTAGCCGATAATAGCGGAGCGCGCGAATTGATGTGTATTCGAATCATAGGAGCTAGTAATCGACAATATGCTTATATTGATGACATTGTTGTTGCTGTAATAAAAAAAGCAGTGTCAAATTCATCTTTAGAAAGATCTCAAGTCATCAGAGTTGTAATTGTACGTACTTGTAAAGAACTAAAACGTCGTAATGGTATAATAATAAAGTATGATGATAATGTGGTGGTTCTCATTGATAAAGAAGGAAATCCAAAAGGAACTCAATTTTTTTCCGCAATAGCCTGAGAATTGAGACAGTTAAATTTCACTAAAATAGTTTCATTAGCACTCGAAGTATTATAATAAGAGATCGTGATATAGATATATTATTTATGACATGAATGAATAGGAAATAGATTGGATTACGAATGAAATATATATTAATAAATTACTCAAAAAGAATTGTAGATAAATTAATTCTACAAACTTACATTGTTTTTTTCTCTTCTTTTTCTGGAGCAGCAAAGGCAGTACTATGAGCGTGCGTAGCACGGCTTTGTCTTGTTTTATTTTATACAGTAGGTGATTATTATACTGAGGTAAAAGTGAGGAAGTGAGGAAGGAAACCGTTTTTGTTAGAGCGAGTGAAGTTAGGTTTGTATTTGCTTATTTATGAAAAGTACAGTTTTCTGTTTTTGGTAAATGGTTGTAATTTATGGTTCACTTATTCTTTCATTGTATGGAATTTGTTGCAAACAATGTGTACTAAAGATGCCTTTTTTGAGTTTGAATTTGCATTATTTTACTGTGCTTTTACCATTCAGAACAAGTATAACAGTGTTGTGTTTTGATGCTTTTCTTCGTTACAGTAGAGTACCAATTTAAGTTGCAAATTTCTCTTAAAAAATTAATTATTTTTCAGTGAAAATTTCAAAGTTGTTCATATGGATGGTTATTTCACACAAACTTTGTGATGATGGCCAACTAAAAACACACAAACTTCATGCTTTGCATTTCCCAAAATGATGCATTTATTTAGGGGGAAGAAAGGGGAACTACAAAAAAAAGCAAGTGTTTTGATTGCAAAAGCAAGTTTTATATTTTGGTTTGTTACATAAAGAGAATGACACACTGCATGAGAAAGGGATAGAACAGTTGCATTTGAAAACTTCCTTCTACTCACACTAAAATAAGCTGGTTCTTTATATTTAAACTAATATACCATATCCAAACTTCAAATGGTTGAGTTCAAGCTTATGATCATGAAAGCTTTTTTATGCAATTACTTCTCTTTCTTAAACCTATCTGCCATATCCAAAGGTTCCATCTCTGTGACACAATCCATTGCAGTCATAGCATTAATTCTCACATTACTTTACATTTGTTTCAATTCCACTAGCGTCTACCTTATTGATTATGTTTGTTACTTACCTCCTGATAATTTGAGAGTCCCTCACTCCCATTTCATAGAACACTTTAAATTGTGTAACTTTGAAAAAGAAACCATAGAATTTCATACTAAAGTATTGGAGAAATCCGGTATTGGAGTTGAGGCTTGCATGCCAGAATCGGTTCATGAGCTCCCGCCTGATAATTCTATGAAGCATGCACAAGCTGAAACCGAAATGGTTCTTTTCACAATCGTCGACGAACTTCTTTCGAAACACAATGTACATCCTAAGAGCATAGACCTCCTTGTGTCAAATTGTAGCCTTTTCTGTCCCACACCATGCATTACCTCAACCATCATCAACAAATTTGGATTTCGCAGTAACGTAAAATGTTTCAGCCTAAGTGGAATGGGTTGCAGTGCTGGGTTGTTGTCTGTAAGCTTGGTGAAAGATCTTCTAAAAGTTCATAAAAATTCATTGGCTTTAGTTCTAAGCATGGAAGCTGTAGCTCCAAATGGATATAATGGCAATACGAAATCCAAACTTATCGCAAACGCGCTGTTTCGAATGGGGGGAGCAGCCATTTTACTATCCAACCGAAATCTAGACAAGGGAATAGCCAAGTACAAGCTTCAACATCTTGTGAGAACACATTTGGGATCAAAAGACAAAGCCTATCAGTCTGTTTATCAAGAACCTGACGAAAACAATATTGTAGGCGTTTCCCTTTCAAGATCGCTTTTAAGTGTAGCTTCTTCAGCTTTGAGGATCAATATACTAAACTTAGGCCCTCTTGTCTTGCCATATTCCGAGCAACTTCGATACGGGCTGTCGATGATTCGCAGGAAAATATGGGCAGCGGAGGATAAAGAAATGTACGTACCAAATTTCAAGAAGGCTTTTGAGCATTTCTGTATACATGCAGGCGGTAAGACAGTAATAGACGGCATAGTGGAAAATCTGAAGCTCCATAGAGAAGATGGAGAGGCTTCAAGGATGGCATTATATAGATTTGGAAATACTTCATCTTCTTCTCTATGGTATGAACTAAGCTATTTGGAAGCAAAAGGAAGAGTAAAGAAAGGACATAAAGTTTGGCAAATTGGGTTTGGAAGTGGATTCAAATGTAACAGTGCAGTGTGGAAGTGCCTTTCTGATATTGATCCAAATGTAAAGAGTGCATGGTCTGATAGAATCCATTTGTATCCAATTGAGATACCTGTGTTTGACTGTTGAAGTTGTTCTAGGTTCAAGAAGTATCAGCAGGGCCAACAAAGATGAAAATTAGGCACTTCATGATTCATGATTTGTGATTTTTCTTGTTTATACCTTTTTGTCTTTCCAGCATAATCAGTATTTGCTAATAAGTTACTTTTTCAGTCAACAATAATAAACAGCAGGCATTGCAAAAACATTATACATTAGGTATGTTATACTAATACCATAATCTGAAGGTATGTTCATTCAAAATCTTAAGGTATTGCACACGTCGATCATCGCTTATATTAATCCATTTAGGCCCTTCTTGTCGGTGTAGAATTAACCACATACCTTTGAGTTTCAAGATAAGCATTTGAAGTGAGGTTTCACTCTGTAAACTAAGACAGGTTATTGACCAGAACTAAAAAAAAGTAAATGATGTATTTTGACATGATACATTTACATCTGTTTATGTACAATCGGTCTTTTGCTACATTAGAATTTAAAAAGGCCAAGGAAAAAAACGAGTGAGGCAATGTATGGTGCGTGAAACTACAGATCTTGTGAAACAAATTGGATCTGATTATCAGTACAAACAAAGACTAGAATTATGTAATCAATGGCAAAATTTCACATACTTTATCTACCGAGATTCTTGGGCTTTTAACTTAACTCGTTGCTTGGACAATACTTCTGCAATGAGCTGTCGACCAAATAAGTGTGAGTTCTTGAGGATTAGGTTCCTTGTTGATGGATCAACAACGTAACCTTGACCTGGCATCCACTGTAGTAAGTGCAGAAGCAAGTCTTTCTTCTCGGGCTGACCTAAATAGCGTGATACAGCCATCTCAAATAAATCCTGCAACATGGGAGGGGATGGACATTTAGTTGTAGATGTTATGTTAGTGTGGATGTGGTTATTTAAAAAATGAAAGAAAAGAAAATGATGCCATGAACTAATTGTCTTACTAATAACAGTATTCAAATTGCAATACAAGCAAGATTATTACCGGATCAATCTTGTAGCCACAACTATGGAGTGTCTTCATAACATCATTGATCAAATTGATGTTACCTGACTTCATAAACGCACTTGCAAATTTTTTGGTGGTAGGGCCAGATATAAATGTTGCATTATCCTGAATACGATAAGATCCATCAAATGAACCACAATAGTACGAGGTAAAAAGGGAGTTATATATTCTTAAAACCTGCAAGAATACCTTAAATACTACATATGCATCTTTCCAAAGCTTTCCTGCTAGAAGAATGTGCAGAATCTTCTCATGAAGTGCCTTGCATATTGATCTCTTGCTATATTTCAGAATATTGTAAATAGAAAACGCCTCTGAATGAGCTTTTGCTTGACCAAGATGGAATATTAAAGAAGAACAGAGCTCCTATAAAGAGAGGAACAAATTAAAACTTTTGTTTGGTGACTGAACAAATAATAGATAGAACACAATCACATCAAAATTTATTAAATGAAGCTTTCTCGGTTTCTTTTAATCAAGTTAGAGCAACTTCACATTTAGAATCTTCTTTTTTTTATCCCTACTCCCTATCATTCAACATCAGTACGTAAGTAAAACATCATACCTCCGTTGGTTGATAGCCTTTACTATGCATGTCCTCCACGGTTCGATAAGCTAATAGATACATGTTTTTACTACAAAAGTATTTGATTAGAATATTGAAGGTATTGTAATCAGGACTGATTGCCAATTCATCCATCTTTCTTAGAGTTTCCATCACACTGTCCATTTCACCCACTCTGCAGAATGCACAGAGCATTGAATTCATTATAACTACATCATATTTGTTAAAGGTAGTCTGAAAATCCTTGGCCAATTGCTTTGCCTCTTGAAAAAGCTTGGCTCGGCAAAATGCTGATATCATGATACTGTGAGCATAGCCATCTGCAAGTGGGAATTAAATCTGTATATTACTACTAGTCAATTAATCCCTTCAGAGTAACCAAACATTTATGTAGTTTTCCTCACACAGTGCTTTATTTCATTGAAGGAAACTTCAAAAGATAACTTACCAGACCTGACTTGTTTTTTCATCATTTTGTCAAAAATTACTTTGGCTTCATGTATTTGTCCAGCCTTAGCTAGGCCATCCATCAAAACACAGTACGGCATCTGCATACAGATCCAAACTATTTGGATAAGACACTCAAAAAGAGAAGACATAGAAAAGGTTTAAAGGATATAAAATTTATGATATGAAATACACTTTAGGCATTATTAACATATGGATAATGCTATGAAATGATTTACAAATATTTCAGATGCAGAAAAACCAAAAAAACCCTTCTTTGTTCAATTGAGAGATTACTATTACCTCATCTTCAGCATAGCCCGAAGATTCCAGTTCGGCTACTAATTCTCTTGACTTCTCAAACAAACCTCCTCTAACATATACCTTCAGCAAGGTTGTCAAAATGACCTGCAACCAATACAAAGCCACATATATGATAAACTACTTGTCACAAATTTTCCTCTGAAATTTTATAAAAAAGACAAGGAAAACAAACCTGGTTTGGTACTAACCCTTCAGATTTCATATCTTGGATCAGCACATCAGCTTTTTGGAAGTTTCCACATGCCGAATAAGCATTGAGCAAAGAGCTATAGTGGTAAACATTTGGAGAACGGCCTTCACTCTTCATCTGCTTAAAATAGCATTCTGCTTCTTCCCATTTACCATTGGAAGCACATACTGCCAGAACTGCCCCATAAATTACGTCATCCATTCGCAGATTATTGTCCTGCAATTCCTGAATTAGCTCTAGTGTCTTAGGATATCCATCTTTTACTTTAACACAGCCTGCAATAAGCTGCCAGTGTGAACAAAAGTTAGACTGCAAGAAAGAACTGAACCTAAATTCAACACGTTACATATTTACGGTGAAACAAAAACACAGCAAAACAATGTATGAAAGAATTGCATACGGTGCTATAGGTAACAAGATCCGGAACTAGACCATCTTCTTTCATCTGACGAAAGAGTTTAATGGAGGTATCAAACTTGCCGTTCCGGAGTAGACAACGGAGAACACAATTACATACATAAACATTGTCTTTGACCGATGCGTCTTGAATGTTGTTATACAGTTTTAGTATCGTTGAAGCATCAAGTTTATTGGCCATGAATTTTATATAATGGGAATAAGAATATACATCAACCTTCTTGTTCTCTTGCATCCATAAAAAAAGCTGCAGCAAATACAAGAGTCATGGTAAATGAGTTTGGCATGATTGCATGAATGATTAAACACATGTTTGAATTAACTTATTTGACCTTACCTACTAACTATTGATATAAGCAGTTACAAGACTTTGGGAAGATCTTATGAAACAGCTTATAGAAATAACTTATACGACTTATATGAAAACAATTTGACTTTGTTTTGGGTCTGTTTGGATGAACTTATTTGAACTTATCTAAAGACATAAACAGCTATGAGATTTGCTTGAGAACTTATAAAATCGGCTTATGGCTTGTTTGTAAGCCGTTTTTCTTGTAGGTTTGGTTTACCTTTTGGAAGAGGCAAAAGCAATTCTAGAGGTGCAAAATTGATTTTTGGACTAATTTTGAGGTGTTTGGTTCGTTTATTCTACTTGAAACTAAAATTTATAGCTTTTGAGTTTAAAAGTGATTTTTACCGTGCAACTTAATGTTCAACTCACTTCTACATAAATTTATCCAAAGCATAAATCAGTTTACCTTCAACTCAGTTTTAAGTAGAATCAATTTTACATAATGAATTCATTCAAAATCAATTCTTTTTACCGCAAAACCAAGCACACGCTTCAATTTATTTTCATAAAGTCACCAAGATAATACAAATACTTTTATCGTTTGTTATATGAATAACTTATATCATGATAAACTCTTAAGCTATAAGCTAGAAATAAAATTAATTATCGAAACAGGCGTATACATAAAGACAGATAAGTGCTTATAATTATCTAAAATGTTTAATGAAGTAAGCAAATAATTAATTACCTGAGAGATATTGTTAAATTTGTTTGAATTACCGAAATGGTTCAAAGCGGTATTGAGTTCTTTCACTGTCAACATTTGTCCAACCCTGAAACAATAAATATGAATTGTGAAGTGAAGAATAGTAGTTATAAATTTGGAAGAAGAAGAAGACGGAGAGTACCTTGTAAGTGTAGAAGGCAAATCGGAAGCATGTTGAATTTGGAGTTTAGGTGATTTTCTTGCGGAAAAGGGTTTGGTGGATTGAGAAGATGAATCAGTTATTGAATGGCGAAAGGGTTTGGTGGATTGAGAAGATGAATCAGTTATTGAATGGCGAAAGGGTATACCAAATGCAACACTTGTTATCTCCATTTTCACTCTAACTGCTAAAGCTTGGCCGTTTTATATATTAAAAAAAGAAGAAAAAAATGGTTAAATATTCTTTTTAATCCTTTGCATCAAATTTTTACTAACTACTTCAACTTTTGTTTGGGTAGCACCTGATATGGTATGTGTGCTATATGAGTTCATTAAATACTTAGAAAATTTCTAAAAATTATTATTTTTGCCAAGATTCAAACACCGGTTCTCTTGGTTGCTAGATAACATATTAACCACTATACCACTTCACACTTGTTTCTATGTCTTATACAATGATTTGCTTTGATTGTCTAAATTCTTTCTCTCACTTCACTATGAAGCAAACATACCTGCACAAAATCATTCATAGTATATCATACTCAAAATTCACTACTACAAAATATCATATTTAAAATTTGCCCCATCAAAATTCCATGATCACTATGTTTCTAAATTGATCTTACCGAATCAGAAATGGATCGTCACAACTAGCTCGGACAGAAGTTGAATGAGATAGGGGTACCTGCAAGACACTCCGATGGCAAAGTAAGTTGCGGAATGAGCAAGCAAGTGTTAAGACTTAGAAGTGTTGAATTGAATACCTGACCCTCTTAGGAGAGAGAGGGATTTATAGCCTTCAATGCTGGGTTAAGGTTCCCACTATTGGACCACATTGAGACCCAATAACAGGAATTGTCAGGGCTTATGTGTGTGTGGAGTCCATCAAGTGGACTCCCCATGGCTAATTGTTCCGCGAGAATAGAGTTGGACCCGTGATTCTCGGAGGGCGGTTTAAGATGGTTGTCGTGGGATCGTGGACCACGTCTTTCAACGGTCGTGTGGGGAGTTGTCCAACGGTCCCTAACTTAAGCTATTTTTGGGCTTCTCGTTCGAAGGGCAAGTGTAGACCCAATCCAGATCATAAATTATAAATCATATTGTATAAATTTATTTGTTTTTAAGTCTTTTTCTAAGAGGGGTTTAAAATCATAAGAGGAGTGTATTATGGACCATCAAAATCTGATGACCCATTAAATTTTTTTGGTTTCGTTTATAAATTATGATGTTTTTATTTGTTTTTAATTAATTAAAGAGATTTGTGATTAGATTAAGGAATTTAAACTTTTTTTCCAATATTTTCTTATTCTTTTTGCTATTTATTTTCTTAGAAAATTGTATAGGTCACACAGTTTAATGTAATAGTTTAGATTTACATTCCCGCATTTTTTCTAATTATGTAACTCTTCCAAAGCACTTTAATAACGTAGATTTACACTCTGTTTTATCTTTTACCTTTATATGTTTGTATATATATATATAACTGCTAGTAAGTAGGCTTGTATGATAAGAATAAAAATCAAACATAGATAACCTTAATTTTCAAGATAACATAACTGAAACCAATATACTTTGCACACTTTACCTCTAGGGTAACCTCTCTTTGTTGCCTTGCGATACTAATGGTCACGTCCCACGAAAACGGGAATACTTTAGCAAAGACCCTCGGTTAAACAATATCATCATGATCCCTTTTGAATAAAGATCATAATTCCTCAATGACCCTTCGAGCTGCCTACAAAATGATTGAGTCCCTTCGATTACCCTATGAGAAAAATGATGATAGTCCCTTCGAATTGCTAAAGTTTCCTTACATGTTGCCTTTTATGACCATACAACGACGCTACGCCTGTCCCTTCACATTCAATATACAGGGCTACCTACCAACTAATGGTATGGATATTACTATCTCTGGCGAAAAAGTAAAATAACACAAACGACCTTTAGTGAGTAAGACTCAACAAATTGCTTGCTCATAATAGTTTCAAACAAACAAATTCATTTTTACACCTCACCTTTCAAAACAAATATTTTCAAAAAAACACTTTGTATACATTCTTGAGGACTGATACAAGAACTATTACAAAGTCTGCCTCATAATTGGCATTCAAAATATTTTCAAATCACACATACACAAAGCAAGTTTAAAGTGAGCTAAGCAATTAAGAGCCTGTAGATAACTACGGATGAAAAGGGTGCTAAAACCTTCTCTTTTCATAACTTACCCCCCAAACTCAAAATCTATCAAAGGTTTTTCCTGTTCTTTTCACCTTTCCTCATTGGATAAAAGAAAAGTCGGTGGCAACTCTTGCTAACCACAACATTTGCGATAAAATGCTAAAAAAGTCAGTTATCCCACCGTATGACACCCACATAGATGTTTTGGTGGATAATACAACACAAGCTTCAGTGTTCTCATTCATGGAAGGATTCTTAGGTTATAATCAGATCAAAATGACACACGAAGATATGGAAAAGACTACTTTCATGACTCCTTGGGGCACTTACTGTTACAAGGTAATGCCTTTTGGTCTGAAGAACACAGGGGAAACTTATCAACAAGCTATGGTCACTCTATTTCTTGATATGATCCACAAAGAAGTTGAGGTATACATAGATGATATGATTGTCAAATCTCATACAGAGGAGGATTATATCGTACATTTATAAAAGTTATTCGAACGTCTACGAAAGTTCAAACTAAGGTTGAATCCGAACAAGTGTACATTTGGTGTCAGGTCAGGCAAGGTATTGGGTTTTATTATAAGTCAGTGTGGTATTGAGGTAGATCTCGACAATGTGAAAACCATATAAGAAATTCCAGCTCCAAAGACAAGAAAAGAGGTTCGTGGTTTCTTAGGACGATTGTATTACATTTCGAGGTTCATATCGCACCTAACTGCTACATGCGAGCCTATATTCAAATTACTTCAAAAAAATCAGATAGTGGTATGGAATTATGATTGTCAGATAGCCTTCTAGATGATAAATCAATATTTACAAGAGCAACCAATCTTGATACCACCAGTTCCGAGAAGACCACTTATCATGTACTTAATAGTACTTGAAGGATCTATGGGGTGTGTATTAGGGAAACATGATGAAACAGGTAGAAAAGAGCACGCAATCTACTATCTCAGCAAGAAATTCACCTACTACAAAACCAGGTAATCACTCCTTGAGAAGACTTGTTGTGCCTTGGCTTGGGATACTAAACGGTTAAGGCAATACATGTTAACTTACACCACGTGGTTAATAGCAAGAATGGATCCTTTGAAGTATGTATTCAAAAAACCAGCTCTTACAAGAAGGATTGCCCGATGGCAGATGTTACTATTCGAGTACGACATCCAATATGTTACTCAAAAGGCTATCAAGGGTAATGTACTAGCTGACCATCTAGCTCATCAGCCATTTCCAGAATATCAACCAATGAAGTTTGACTTTCTAAACGAAGATGTCATGGTTATAGGTGACTACAAAATACCGGGCCCAACGAAGGACCTGAACCAGGGGCACATTAGACACTCATGTTTGACGGTGCTTCGAACGCACTAGGGTATAGTATTGAGGCAGTTTGACTTCTCCAAAGAATTTTCATAAACCTTATACTGCAGGGTCATGTTTTGGCTGCAACCAATAATATCGCTGAATATGAAGCTTGTATCTTGGGTCTAGAAGCTGCTATTGATCTAAGAATTAAACATCTCGAAGTGTATGGAGACTCAATATTAGTCATATACCAAGTCAACGGTGAATGGGACACTAAACATCCCAAATTGATTCCATATCGGGATCATGTTTTAAAGCTAGCTACAAAATTTACTGAGATTACATTAAGTTATATTCCACAAGAAGAAAATCAGATGGCAGACGCTTTCGAAACTTTATCAGCCATGTTCAAAGTGACTTGGCCAAATCACGAACCATGCATTGCAATTAGACATTTTGAAGAATCGACACATTTCCTTGCCATTGAGGAAGGAACGAATAACAAGCCTTGGTTCTATGACATTAAAAGGTATCTTAAGAAACAAGAATATCCAGAAAATGCCTATGTGATTGACAAGCGAAATTTGCGGAAGTTAGCTTCAAAGTTCTTTCTAAATGGTGATGTATTATACCAAAGAAACCATGATATGGTGTTACTCAGGTGCATGGAGAAACATGAAGAAGATAAACTTATGAGAGAAATTCATGAAGGCAACCTTGGAACTCATACAAATGGACATGCCATGACTAGGCAATGGCAAATAAACCTGCCCCGACTGAGCACCCGCCGCCCCTGCCCCGAAATTAGTGGGGAAAATCCAGTTTAATTGGGGGCGGGTGTGGGGTAAACTCGGTTTTTATATACGGGTGCGGGTGCAGGGGCGGGTGATACTAGTATCCGCCCTGCACCCGCACCCGCCAACTAAAATTAATTTATTTCATTTATTTTTAATAGTTTTATTACTCATTTACACTTTTTAATGTTATAATATCATGTTTATTAGAATTATTATTTATTTTTTCAAAAATACAATTTAAATAAAAGTATCAAACATAAAAAATGCTTTTAAAATAATTAATTATTTAGTTTAATTATTAATTTTTATTGAAAAAAATATAAATTTTTAAAAAAATTAAAATTTTATTCGGGCAGGTGTAGGGTGGGTGCGGGGAAACCCGTTTCTTATTGGAGGCGGGGGCGAGGGAACAAATATTAGCTCCGACCGGGTTTGGAGGCAGGGCGGGTCTGGGTCTGGGTAGCGGGTGCGAGTCTGGGTGTGCTTAAACCCGCCCCCGACCCACCCTGTTGCCAACTGTGATACGGCGGCAGAACTGACTATTATATTGGTTTTGCGTTTGTATTCGCAAATATTTGGGTAAGCAAGAGTCGCCACTTACTTTTATTTTATCCAACAAAGGAAAGGGTGAAAAGAACAAAAAAAAACCTTTTCGAGAATTTTCTGAGTAAGGGGGGCAGATTATGGAAAGGGAAGGTTTTAGTACCCTTTCCATCCGTAGTTTTCTACAGGCTCTTAGATGCTTAGCTCATTTTGAAAAATACCTTGTGCTTTTGTGTGTTTTTGAAAAGTATTTTGAAATTTCCTTAGTGCGGCGATTCGGTTTATGATAGTTCTTGTATCAGTCCTCAAAAGTGTTGATAAAGCATTTTTTTAAAGTGTTTT